AAAGCCTTAGGATTAGCAATCACAGGCATGGAAATGACAGTACAGACTAAGAATGAAGTGATGTTTGAGATCATAGCTTTAAATTCTGGCTCCTCATCACACTTGCTTAGAACCAACAACAACAAAATGCTTACCCAAGTGCTGGAGAACCTACCCAGAGATTAAGATGTAATTGAGGTGCAGCCAGATTAGGTATGTTAAAAAAAGATTATGTCCCAAGGTGATTCTCATGTAGAACTAGGTCTGAGAACATAGGTAAGCGATAGAGAATTGGAAGCATGCTCCCAGGTGTTCTTGGCCCAGTCAACAGCTAAACTTTGTACCTGGAGCTACATATGCTCAGGAATCGTACGTTGCTAACTTTGATTATGTGAATAATAACATTATCTGGGTATTAGAATATTAATTAAGCTGTATTCTGTCCAGTAGAATTTCAGGTTCCAATATTTGGCAATGCTGATGATCCAGGCCATCGTGGAAAGCTATCTTGTCAAGTCAGGGAAGCAGATGTCAAACAATCACATAGTTAACTGATGACATGTAATCACTAGAAAAGTGCTTCAAAGTATGAGTACGAGACTGATAAAGTCCAAGAAAAGGTCTTGTTTTTTTCTGAAGTTCCTAGAGCATTCCAAGATGCCTGGTATCTTAAGGGCTGAATAAATGGTATCTACTGAATGAATAAATTAGGGAATGAAGAAATATGCTAATTTTTCCAAAATGGTAAAGGGTTAAGTCTGAAGAAATTATAGAACTGTAATAATTCTACCCATCTCTAGCAACATACTCAACTAAACCTCTGATTATTAAGCCCATAGAAACAAAATTAGCTTCTTAGAAATGACAACAGGTTTATTAAAACCAAGTAATTCCAGATGAACCTGGTTGCCTGAGCTGAGAGAGTGAGGTTGGACTGATAATATCTATGTATCCTTGCCTTTTGTACCAATTAATTTCTGACTGTTAGCAGACAAAGTGCATGATCTCATGGTACTTATATTCCTGTGCAGGTACTAGAGTAGGCAAACAAGAAACTAGTAAGCAAAACCCAACCAATGAGATTCTGGTTTATGGCAGAGACCACAAAGTAAATGACAGCACATCATGGAACGATGAGCATATAATCATGGGCCAATGGTGGGTGCACAAGAAGGCAGGTGACTTTAGAGGAAGAGTCGGGGGGACTTCTCTGAAAACGTGACATTATAAGTAAGAATCACATTGTCAGAAGGAGTCATCCCTGTAAGTTCTGGGAGCAATTGTTCAACAAAGACTTTTATTTTCTGGTAAGAAATCTCAATTTTATTTTACATGAGTCAGGTAGGGGAGTGCTATGCTTTTATTCTTCTTTATAAAGAATATTTTGGTGACTATGTAAAAAATGATTTTGGGGAGATTGTGGTGTGGAAGCAGGAACTCCAGATAGGAGGCTGCTTAACAACTCCAGGTGTGAACTGACAGAGGCTTCTACTCACAAAGGTGGGAGAAGTACATAGATTTAGGATACATTTTAGGAGGATTAAGAGGAAGGAAGTGACAGAGTTACCATGAGCTGTGGGTAAGTTGCACAGGACTTGAAGTTATAGAGAGGGAAGAACCAAGGCTGTTTCTCAGAGTTTTGCATAGACAAGTGAATGGAGACTGATGCCGGTTACTGAGATGGGGAGAAGTGACACCGAAGAGAAAGTTGCTGAGGGAGCCACTAATCAGGAGTTCCATTTTGCTATATTCTGTTTGATAGATCTACCATACTTTAAGTGGAAATATCAAGTAGGCAACTGCATATATCATCTCAGAGGTCAGGCCATGAGATACAGATGTGAGGTGACCATTATGTAGATGTGTTTAAATGTACAAAACTCTATAAATTCAGCAAAGCATGGAGTGTAGATGGAAAACTAGTAGAAGAATTGAGATAGCCAGTTAACAAGTGAGATAGGAGAAAAAGCCAGGTTTTAAAAATATGGGCATAGCTTTTTGACCCAAATTCTGCTGAGAGCTCGAGTGAATTAAGAAACATTAAGTGTCCACTGAATTGGGCTTCTTGGTCGTCACTGGTGATCTTGAGTAAAGTAGTTTCTGTAGAGCACTCTGCACTAGTCAGTTTCCCTGGAGAAACAGAACCAGTAGGATGCTTATATATATTAAGAGATTAACTGCAAGGAATTGGCTTATACAATTGTGGGTGTGGTTAAACACACCTGAAGTACATAGGGTGGGCTAAAAACTCTCAGGCAAGATCTGAAGCTACAGTCCACAGGTGAAATTTCTTCTCTCTCAGGGAAATTTCAGTTCTGCTCTTGAAGCATTACAACTGACTGAATTAGGTCCATTCAGATTTCCTAGGATAATCTCCTTTACCTAAAGTCAAATGATTGTAGACACCAAGCATTTCACAGCAGTAACTACATTAGTGTTTGGTTGGATAACAGGGGACCATATCTGGGCCGAGTTGACATGTTAAACTGCCCATTACATTTCACAGTATTGATTGGAATCAGCTGCAATGTGAAGGGAGCTTATCATATAACATCTGAAGGGAGGTTAGCAGGTGGTGAGAACAACTAAAAAGAAGTTTTAGAGAGAAGCCATTCTGTGAAGAGGAGAGAGGAAGAAAAGGAGAGGCAGTTGCTGAATAGGACCATGGGTTTTTGTTGTTTTGTTTGGTAGTGCTTACAGCAAGATTTTATGTTTCTAGAAACAGTCTAGTCAAAATTAAGGAAGGTGACTCACGTCTGTAATTCCAGCACTTTGAGAGGCCACGGTGGGTGGATCACAAAGTCAGGGGTTCAAGACCAGCCTGGCCAACATGGTAAAACCCCTTCTCTATTAAAAATACAAAAACTAGGTAGTGCACTCCTGTAATCCAAGCTATTTGGGAGACAGAGGCAGGAGAATTGCTTGAACCCAGGAGATGGAGGTTGCAATGAGCTGAAATCACACCACTGCACTCCCACCTGGGCAACAGAGTGAGACTCCATCTCAGAAAAAAAAAAAAAAAAAAAAAACAGAAAGAAAAGAAACAATCCAGTCAAATAAGAAATATGATAATACTGAAAGGGAGAAGCGGGTTCAGAAGGTATACTAACACATTGATTTTAGATGGAAACAGAAAGATACATTCCTTTTTGGAAATTTTGTTACCCTGAAGGAAAAAAAGTACCAAAGCATCAGCACTAGTGATTGAAGATTATAGGGTGCCTACTTGAGGCACATCAGAGGGAAAGACATTCTGTATCCAACAACTCTCCAAGGTTGTTAACTTTCCACCGCTGGTGAGGTTTCCCTGAAGGTAGTTTATCCCACTGTAGGATGCACTTGACCCGGAGCCTACACAGAGAGAGGTAGACTGTTATCACAAAGGCAGGAGTTTTCCCCCAGCCTAGAACTGGGCTTTAGCAGACCTTTGAACCTTCTCATACTGTAGAAAAGGTATATGTTATCATGATCATTTTTTCTGAGTAAAGTGTTCCTTATCAGACTCTCAAAGGGGTCCATCACCAGAAGATGCTAACCATGCTGCTCAAAGACATCTTTCAATGTCTTAACTCAATTCTGTGACTTTCTGTTCAGGGAGACAGTGTGAGTTAATAATGGACATGAAAAATAAGTACAACCGAACAGAATGAGAAAAAGCAAAAGGATAAGGACACGTTAAAGAGTAATAAGATTCTTAGATCAAAATAGATGGCTGGTATAATAATAATAACAAACTCTTAATTGTAGCATAAAAGCTTTATACTATATTTAAAAATAATCTTCTAGCAGTAACAAATTGTTATCAAAAAGGATGTAACAGGAGAATTTTAATGCCCCAGAGATCCCAGGATAAAACATACACCGCTGTAGGTGTTCTATGCTTTATCATACAAAGTTTAGAGTGGAAGATGTTCCCTCCTGGGCCTAATGGTTTGTTGATGCGTCTGTTCTAAACTACATTCTTTCTAAAAGTGCTTGTTCAAGATAAATACAGTCATTTTACCAGTAAATTCGCAATGCGCAGGGCTTTATTTTCAGCAGACTCTCTGTGCCCATAGTTTACTTGGAGAATTTGTAAACATTCAGCTTTTTGGGTCTCGATTTTCAGAAATTAGAATCCAGTATGTATGAGATGGGATGAGGGAAATGCATTTTCTGGGCGACACTTCTATTGATTCTGATACAGGCATTCAGCTGATCTCACTATCGAAATCAAGAGAAGCATGTCACTCATTAGGTGCTCCTGCAGCTCAAAACAGAAATCTACTGAACCTGTCTGGATGAAAGTGTTAGTGATCAAATGTGTTTACACATTAGGGTCATTGGGTTTTAGCATATAAGCAGAATATGTCACTGCTTAAGGCGGAAAACCAATTTATTATCATGCAGTTTTAGGTTTCAGTATAAAGCCTGCAAGAAAGAATTATAGGGATGGAAACCTTCCTGGAATAATTTAAACCTTACTCTAGAGTGATCACTAGTTCTACCTGTGTTTATAATCTTCTTTGTGGGCAAGATAGAGCTCTAATTTCAAATTTAGTACAAACAGATGAACGGATGAAGGACATCATTTCACGGAGAAAGCATTTTGTGAATTACATTTAGTTGTTCTTTCTCCTCATCTTCTAGAACCAGTCTAGAGGTGAATGCTTTTCTCTCACAGCTCTGGGAAAGTAGGTCAGCAAAGACTTTATAATACCTTACGCCGCATCCGGGGAAGAAGTAAACCTATTTTTTTTTTTTTTCACTGCAAAGGACAAATGGTTGCTGAATTCCCTGAGTGATTAATTTTGAATGTTTTTTTGAGCCTTTATCACACTATCAGAGCTGAGTTTATTTAGCCCTAAGTAGAACGTTTTTTCTACTTTGGGGTTGAATTGAACATTTTTAAATATGCATATGAAAATCTAGAAATAACTTTAAAATAAAAAGAATTGTCAATCTCAGTGTAGATAAACTGATGTCATGTAGACAGTACCACTCACACTCAGTAATCATAAAGGTTACATGTGGGTACTTACTATAGGAACATCCGTAGACCTCGACCCTCATGCCAATCTTCCCACTGGGATTCCATTCCAGGGGCACAAAGCGAACAAATCGGGCTCTCACTGAGTGCAGTAGCTTGTGGTGCACCACGCTGTCAGCATTCATGTTTCCTGCAAAGGTCTGCAGAGAAGAAAGAGAGCCAGTGAGGTCTGTGATATGTCATTTCAGTGGAAACCCATATTTGTTACTCCACAAACTCTTACTAAGAACATACCCAATTTCTCACATATTTCAAATAAAATCCGACTTGGGGGAAAATCCTGCATTGTGTGTTATTTTTTTTTTTTCAGAAATGTTTTACATTATTCTTTAAGAAATTCCTTTTAAATTTTTTATGAATAAAGCAATCCTAGCAAGTCCTGAGACATCACACCTAAAAGCTTTACAAAGTTCAAAATACAATGAAATTCCCATGTTTCAATCGGTGAGGAATGGAAGATAACTGACTATCTGCTTTTAGAAGGAAAAGATTTTATTGAAGTAATTGTTACCATCGATTGAGACCAGTCACTATGCTAAGCACTTTCCATTATTGTTATTATAACCATTTTGCAGATTAAAAAAAAAAAAAGAAGCCTAGAAAGAGAAAAGGGAAAGGAAAAAAATCTCCAAATCACCCAATTGGCTAGTAATTAGAGATTTCTACAGCCTCCTACTCTTCAAAAATTTCATTGTTGTTACAGAAGGGAAATAACAAACTCAGATTTCATCTTATTCATTTTCACATTTCCACGTGAACGTTAATCAAAAGAACACACAGCATAACAACTATTTGCTCTACTAACATTGTATTTCATAGCCTTTATTTGTATGAACAATTTTATTGGGGGGCTTTTTTTTTTTTTGGCTGCAAATGAAATCCAAAGACTTGCATCTAGTATTTCTAGTATTTTTTTAATTTGCGTAAATATACATAACAAAAAATCACCATTATAACCAATTTAAAGCAAATAATTTAGGGCATGAAACATATTCATGTTGTTGTACAACCATCACCACCATCCTTTCCCAGAACTTCTTCCTCATCCCAATCATACCTTATCTTTCAGACGGGATGTCAGCTAGCTAGCCGATTTGTGTGCTTCATTATGAATCATCAGCTGTCTTCTTTTCAGCTTCTAATATTCATAGACAAAACCTACTTGCTGATGTGCAATCAACATCAACCAATAAAAATAAGATCCATTGCCTTTGCAAATGGCCAAAGTGAAAATCAAGTAAGATAATTTTGTCTATTTAATAAAATTCATTTTCAAAGAGCTTAACCTTAACCTTGATTGTATTTTCATAGCACCTGTGGTTCCAGGTTATCTTGCGTAATCTCTGACACTTCTACTACACACAAAACACCCACTAGCTAATAGCTCTGCAATTAGGCAATTGCTGTAATTACCATTATGTATCACAAAATGGCTTATAAAGAAGTAAGAAGCTCACTTTCTATTTTGCAGCTACTCCTGGAGCAAAACTCGCATAAAAGAATGACTTAGTGGGGAGGAATTTCTTGAGATTCAAATTCAACATTTCAGCTCCCAGGTTTGTCAAACCTTTTTGCATTTTCTCCTCCTCCAAATGGAGAATGACTTTATTTGACAGAATTGCTCTTCCACATGCCCTGCCCCCAGACCTAGCATCTGGCACAGATATGAAGCTGTCCTCCATCCCTGCTCACCTGGAAAGGACTCCTCCCTGTGGAGTTTAGTTCTTTTAAAATGTCCTTGTATCCATACCACTTTGTTATGTATAGGGGAAGGGAGATGGTTCTGGTGGTTTCTTACTGATTTGGATAGAGTGAAAGTATGTCGTATTTTTCTACAGCCTAACTGTGGAAACTTCCATTCAGCACTCTCAATTCCCTACTGATTGCATGTGCGCCATATCCCACCTCCCCAGGCATGTAAATACATGGGGCTTATAGCATTCTTTATCTAAGACAAATGTGCAATAGAAACTTATTCACCTTCAAATGACTGTGTGCCCCTTCTGAGTTCTGCATAATTTGTAAATGGAATATCACACACACACACATACACACACTGCTTAACAATGTTTCAAATTTGATCGCATACCGTAGATAGAAAGATTTGTTTTATGACCTGGCAATGCTTTATAGGAGTTAATCCCTTAACAAATGTAGGGTGTGCTCCAATTAGAAGGAAACTTGGACTCATTCTGAGAAGAGTCAGCCTTATTATTGTAGTCTCACAGTCTCAAAATCCTTCTATCCCAGAGCTACATTATTTGTAGTTTCATAGTCTTAGAGGGTCATAGTCAAGCAGATCCAAGGTCTCACATTTCTGAGAGCCCGAAGTTCATAGTGAATGTCCCAGGGAGTTCCTGGTGCTAGTAGCTTAAAGTCACTAGAAAACATTTAATGGTAAAGGCAGATTGAATCTTAACAAAGCTACAACCAGCCCCTCCCCAAGTTCACCTGTAGATCAAAGGCAATTACTTATCAATCCCGGAAGTTATGTGCTGGATGAATAGCAAGAAAAGATTTTCCTGTTTGATGTATTAAAACCACCACCGTATCCAAAGCCATCTAACTTGTTGAACTTAACATGTGAACAACAAAAATGACAATGAGCTACTCATCAGAGAAAAAATAAATGAAAATCCAAAAATGCTGAAAGTAAAACATTAGCATTCTATGTCCAGTGCTGGAGCTCAGAAAATGATATCCTGAAACATGCCACTTTGACATACAACTAAAGAAGTAGCCTCAATTGTCTCTTACCTTCCCCTCCTCACTCCATCTCTTAATATGTTGAAAGCACAGGTTAAGGCTATTCTCTTAAGTTCTTTTATCTACCTGGAAACTGAACCCACCAAAGAGAAACACAATTGTCTTCAATCCTCTCCCTCAAATTTAATCAATTAGGGAAGATTACAATTCATATTACAGAGAAAAAGAAAAAAAAACCTAAAAATTAAATACCACACCAAGAACCTAGATGATCTTTATCTCTAATCCTACTCAATGCCTAAAAAGAATTATTTATTAAAAATAGTCTGAGCGTTGGGTCCATCCACTTTCCCTGAAAATCGTATACTGCCCTTCAAAATGACTACATTTGGAATGATCCAAGATGGCCAATAGATAACAGCTCGGGATTGCAGCTCTCAGGCAAAGTGCAGAGAACTAGAGGACGCCACACTTTCAGACAAATTCTGGTCACACATGGAGCAGAAGATCCCCATTGAAGGAACCACACGGGTCCCCAGTGTGACTCTTGTGGCCGGCGCAGCAGTTTCGCCGGCACCTCGGCGCAGCAGCTCTCAGAGCAGAGCAAACAGGGCGGGCTCCCCTTCTGACCGAGGTTTGGAGGACCCACACGGGTCCCCAGCACGACTCTTGAGACCGGCACAGCAGCTGTGACGGCACCTCAGTGCGGCAGCTCTCAGCGCAGAGAAAACGAGACTGGTTCTCCTCCTGACCGAGGTTTTGAGCCCGGGGAAGTCAGAGTCGCTCATTATGGACACAAGAAGGAAGCCAGACAGGAGAATCCTGGGCAGAAAAGCACCATCAGTCTTAATGCCGCCATTCTGGCCCTGGGAACTAACAACTTGGATGTCCAATCAAGAGACCTAATCTGAAAGTTGGTAATTTCAAAGACGATGGAGGATAAATTTACAATGATGGGAAGAAACCAGCATAAAACGGCTGAGAATACTCAAAATCAGAACGCCTCTCCCCCTCTAAAGATGATCACAGTTCCACATCAACAATGGAACAAGGCTTGACAGAGAATGAGCGCATCCCAATGACAGAATCACTCTTCAAGGAATGGATAATAAGAAACTTCTGTGAGTTAAAAGAACATGTTGTAGCCAAACGTAAAGAAACTAGGAACTTTGAAAAAAGGTTTGACGAAATCCTATTGAGAATAGACAACTTAGAGAGGAATATACGTGAATTAATGGAACTGAAGAATACAATACAGGAACGCCGAGAAGTATGCACAGGTTTAAACACTCGAATTGTTCAAGCAGAAGAAAGGATATCAGAGGTCAAAGTTCAACTTAATGAAAGAAAACAAGAAGACAAGTTAGAGATAAAAGAATAAAAAGGAATGAGCAAAGTCTCCAAGAAATGTGGGACTATGTGAAAAGACCAAATTTAAGTTTGATAGGTGTACCTGAATGCGACGGAGAGAATGAATCCAAGCTGGAAAATAACCTTCAGGATATTATTCAGGAAAATTTTCCTGAACTAGCAAAGCAGGTCAATATTCAACCCCAGGTAATACAGAGAACACCACAAAGATATTCCTCAAGAAGAGCAACCCCAAGGCACATAATTGTTAGATTCACCAGGGTTGGAATGAAGGAGAAAATACTAAGGGCAGCCAGAGAGAAAGGTCAGGTTACCCACAAAGGCAAGCCTATCAGAATTACAGCAGATCTCTCAGCAGAAACTCTACAAGCCAGAAGAGAGTGGGGGCCAATATTCAACATCCTCAAAGAACAGAACCTTCAGCCCAGAATTTCATATCCAGCCAAACTAAGCTTCACAACTGAAGGAAAAATAAAATCTTTTATGAACAAGCAAGTACTCAGAGATTTTATTACCACCAGGCCTGCTTTACAAGAGCTTCTGAAAGAGGCATTACACACAGAAAGAAACAACCAGTATTAGCCTTACTAAAAATATACCAAAAAGTAAAGAGCATCAACATAAAGAAGAATTTATATCAACGAATGGATAAAACAGCCAGTTAACATCAAATGGCAGTAACCCTAAATTTAAATCAACTAAATCCCCCAAAATCAAAAGACACAGCCAAAACCCAACGGCATGTTACATCCAGACCTGTTTCACATGCAAGGATACACAAAGACTCAAAACAAAGGAATGGAGAAAGATTTACCAACTTATGGAGAGCAAAAATATATAAATAAATAAATAAAAAGCAGGAGTTGCAATTCTCGTAGCGGATAAAATAGATTTTAAAGTAACAAAGATATAGTGGTAAAAGGATCAATACAACAACAGGAGCTAACGATCCTAACACCCAGATACATAAAGACTTAGATTCAATGAGACAGAAAATTAATAAGGATATCAAGGATTCGAACTCATATCCGAAACAAGTAAACTTAATAAATATTTATAGAGC